AATCTGTTGGCGATGAACTTTCCTTTGTACAATTGTTTCAAACATCATTGATAAATGAATTTTCTCAAAGTTGGACTTCCACGTTGAATAACAGCTCTAGATATGTGATGTATAGAGAATATAAATCCATATTTGAACCAGAAAGATACCTGTATATCATATTAGAAAAAAAGGTGCGCCCTACTTACATCAAATCCAGATGCAATGTCTTGCCACTACGTTATAATGAAGGTAGGTGGCAATCAATCGAATCTGGTTTACGTTTAATGTCCCATTTGCAACACCTCTGTAGAGGATGAGTATCATTTCACACTTACATGCCACTTGTACAATGAATTGAGAATAACTTTTCTTCCGGAACACTTTTGGAAATTCCCTTCTATCCATAAATTTAAAAGGCTGATATGTGCAACTCAGGAGAATGTAATCAGACGTGTACAGTATTACATTTACCATGCATATATAAAAAGAAATAGGTATTTAGAAACACTTTGGACTTCACTTGTATACTCTTGTTAACTATGTATAGTTATATCTTGTATATGGGCCCTTGGCCTCGTTACAAATAAACTCCTTTTTGACTTTGACTTTGACACCGGGGATACAGGGGTGTTATACTCCGGAGAATATGACACAAATAGCAGTATTTTTATACCAAATTAAATGTCAGGGTGGTTCTGCCCATGACAAAATTTGAATACTGAATTTGGAGGTCAACATCACCCGATTGGCCCATGAGTCACTGCCTTCTGGCATAGGACTCTTTAGTATATCGATAATTTATAAATTGGAAATAGAAATGGCCAAGGCCCAAAATGGGTTAAATGTGCAAAACATTCACTATGCACAGCGCTCGGTGTGACCAGCTGATTGAGAGAACCAGGCGCATTCTACAACCCGTTTCGATGAAGTAAGGACTGAAGTGGTGTGGTAGGCACAGGAATGCTGTTCCTGGAACCAGTGCCCTCAACCACCAGAAGCTCTGCCCCCTCCCTCCCTCAGGCCTAGGGCACAACCCACGGGCCCATTTCGGTTGCTTTTAGCGTTACCCAGCACCAACCACCAGGAGGTTGCTCTTCAAGGGGGCCATATGTTGCTATCAGTATGTTCCAAATTATTCATAACCAACCAAAGTAGTATTGCGGATTTTCACTTGATCTCATGATGGTTCTTATTTCCATGTGTTGAACTCTTTTTTAGAAGGTAGCCAACTTATTCATGCAGGTTTTTATGAATTGCGAGTGTAGGGTATGATTCATATGTTGCTCACTTCTTTGCATTGGACCTTACATATATTTTCAACAACTCTTTTGCCGTTTGCGCCAGGTATAATCTGTTTCTGCAGATGAGTCTGGCAATTTTTTCTGAAATTAAATATATTTTACATGTAGTTGAAGCTCAAAGATTTTAAATGTTTCAGGTCGAAGGGTGTGTCTGGGCGAGTCGATGGCCCGGATGGAGCCTGACCACCATGATCTAGAGGTTCAAGTTCGTCCCGGTGGATGGTCAGATGCCATCCTCGGATGGAATCATAGGCATAACGTATTCTCCAAGATCATTCCTCGTGAAAGCCATTCCCAGGATTTCATCACTTTTAGTTAGTGAGAGAGTACGGTGACAGAAGGAGAGCGAGAAGAGAGTGCCGGAGAAGAGAGAGAGAAGAAAGACCTATTCAGTTACTCATGGCTAACAATAGAATACACATGCATATCACATTAAACTTGTAATCATCTTATCACACTGAAATTACATAACGGAAACAGAGTTCAAGTAAAAGATTAATAATATATGATGATGCTTCAGTTTGTACAGATATGAGGCCAATTGTACAATCATATATACCCATATATGTTCGTCCATATTGTAGGTATTTGTTATATCCTCGAATACAAAAGATAGCATATTTGCTTCTTGCATTTGGAAGCATACGTTTGGACATATGTTTCAAGTAAGTCGATTGGAGAAGATGTATGCGTTTCAGGGTGTATTAAAGAATATTGTAGCCTGGTGTATCTTGTCCAAACAATAATTATTTGTTCTTTGTTGTTCATACTCAACGGTACCCTTAAAGATGCGGGTTAGAATATTGATCTTCAGTAACCCATGCTTGTCGTAAGAGGCGACTAACGGGATCGGGTGGTTAGGCTCGCTGACTTGGTTGACACATGTCATCGGTTCCCAATTGCGTAGATCGATGCTCATACTGCTGATCACTGGATTGTCTGGTCCAGACTCGATTATTTACAAACCGCCGCCATGTAGCTTGAACATTGCTGAGTGCGGCGTAAAACTAAACTCACTCACTCACTCATACTCAACGGACTCTTCCCCCCAGTTCAGATTACAATCTGAGTGCTTCATTGATGTTGATAGACGTAGTAGATTCATTCCATGGTCCCTAATATGGTAATCTACCTTCAGTTGTTGGCAATCTGTAGCCTCGTTGTGAGTGCTGGGTAAAGCTAATAGCTCTATCCCCGTGTGAACCTGGGGCAGAATAGGTTCTCAGCGCCCCATTGCTAGTTGTAAAAGGCGACCTGTTTGCCGTGGTTTGCGCCCCTGTGTCGGTGGAGGACGGGATTGGTGATTGAGGGCATAGATTCCTGTAAACTGTAAATGTCGAATTATACCCGCGACCATGTTCAAGTGCACGTCGTGAAAAACGATTTGGCGTGTTTGCAAGAAATTCATGAAAGTTGTGAATGGAATATCCATTGTCTAAATTCGGATGCGACCATACAACTTGATTCCTAATCACCCAAAAAGTTACGTCAACTTATTTATGTAATACTATATAAAGATACATTGTGAACCTTGATGAATTCATAATGTTTTCAGATTCGCTTTCCGGTCTTCAGGCAATAAATACATTTCGTGTCAGCATCTAGTTTAACTTGACATTACTGAATTACAAAATAGTCTTGCTACGGGCCAAAACGACATGGTGTTTTGTTGTTTGCCAAACCATGGTGGCATCGCTGGTAACGCACTCTCGGTTGCCACTGTGAAACCAGCACAAAAAAATCGGTAACACCACTTCTGATCCCATACAGTGATTGTATTATCGTCAACCATTTTGTAAATGACAATGTTATTGATTTACTTTGTACAAAACAGTTTTTTTTGGTACAGGTTTTTCGAATTGGTCGATAAATTGAAAACAGAGATTGGTAATGGTTGTATCTACGTGTGTGTGTGTGTGTGCGCGTGCGCGCGTGTATGTTGTTTTGGTGTGAAGTGATGAGGGTATGCAAGAACATGTTCTTACGGTTTAAAATCTACTGTGACATAAGTGAGTCCCCTTTAAACCAGCAAAATAAAACACAAACAAGTTTATAATATTCAATAACATGTTGAATAAACAAGGTTAGAATGAATGACAGTACAGATTTCTAATGCAATACAGTTGGACCACGAATATAATAATATTGGGTAACAAATCTAAAATATCAGCTCACCAAAGTTTTGATATTCCCAGTAAAACCGGATGTACCGATTGATTGTTGACAGCTGTTGTTAGTTCAATGTAGACGAGTGTTAGGTCTCTTGAGTGGTCAAACGTTGATGTTAGCAGACAGATGAACGTAAATCAAAAGTAGTCCCACCTCAAACATCTCAACAACCATCCCTTACCTTATAACTACGCCACAACACAAACATCGAAGAGCTTCTCCCGCCGGAAGCAAAACTACAACAAAGAGGAGGTAACTCCTCAGCTTGCTCTCTTAACAGCTGAAATCACATAGCCCAAGTTCAAGGTTTGATTTCAAATATACACTCTTTAAAAGTGGCGCTTTAAAATATTGTGACCTAGGTGACATTTTAATATAGCAAATATTATATTTAGGATTACAAAGTACAGATTTTAGTACTTTTGGGGGTTGAGTCCCATCCGGGATTCGAACCCACACCCTCAGAGTCAGGCACCTTATCGCCAGCACACAAAGTCAGCCGCCTAACCCGCTCATCCACCGCGACTTCCACGTGGAATCTGTACTTTACTAAGAAAGTGTAATCCCAAATATAGCATATGTTACATTTGACCACTTTCTGAAAATGGCATTGTGTAATCACATTTTAATTAGCAAAAACACATTCACATAACAATGTGCTCTTTCAATGTTTGTGAGATGTGTCAATAATCAACATTTGAAGGGATAATATAGATGCAGCTAGAAGGGCTGCGCAATATAAGCGGTTTACCGGTATTTACCGCTTCAGACATGAAAACGATGCGCATTGCGATACGCTGATCGAAAACCGGTATTTTGACTTGCATTCGGAAAACTTCGTAACACTCGGAAATCTTCGGATATTTCCTTGTTTCATTTGTGCCAAATACTATTTACATTTTTATTTTGTCATGATTAAAAGTCTTTATTAAAGCTTAATCAAGCATAGTGATTTTGTTGTGTTCATGCTTTATAAATCAAGCATATTTTTTCTGTTTACAAATACTTCTTGCAATATATTGCAATACATATCGCAATATATGCTTTCGCATCGCAATATGAAAATCTCTGCAATACCAACCCCTAGCAGCTAGGGTCTATACGGTGTATGACCCATGGTACTTGCTATGGTGGTCTATATTATATTGTTGTATATAGTCATATTTTCATGATATTTGGTAGTTCTATATATGGATATGCTATAATTTAGCTATTTTATTTCCTTTATTGGCTGTATTTATACAGTCTAAGTTAACGTGTAACTTTCATAATCACGTGGCTGACAGGCTGTCTATGTGAATTTTAACAAAATATCTTCTTCGTAGATAAAGTATCTTCTATCTAATGGAAAGTGTACGTAGATGGTGAACACAGATTTTCCCCTGGGCACTAATACGCTTCCATCGGTAAATGAGACGTATTATGTGTTATCTATTTTGGATTTTTGTCATTGCAGATGTAGTGGTGCATATACTCGGGGTTAGGTCAGGAGAGTAAATTTCCAGTGTCCTATTTCTAGAGGCAGAACTGGGACACATTCTGGTATAGCTGATTTATGGTTCGTTGTGTAACAATGCATGTTGTTGCATAAGGCAACAATATTCAGTGTAAACTCCGCAACACACGGTGACATCTTTCGTTTTGAGAACGTAACAGGAGGAGACAATGGTGGATATATTCGCCTTCAGTCCTACAACTGCGCTGTTGTTTGGAGCTGTGCTAGTTTTGTTATGGCTGCTAACGCGGCGACCCTCAGGGCTCCCTCCCGGTCCCCCTCTCATCCCGTTTGTTGGGAATATCCTGTCCATGGACGCGGATCCCCGCATTGCGTTTAAGAAACTCAGGCAACAATATGGGGACATCTTCAGTGTTTACGTGTTTAACAAACCTCTCATCGTCCTCAACGGCTACAGCACTCTGAGAGACGCCTTTGTCAAGAACGCCGACGTTTTCTCTGACAGGCCACACTCAACGTTCAATGACTACATTCTGAAAGGGAAAGGTAGGAGTTACAATCTGTAAAGTTCAAGGAGAAGAGGCTGCTTTCCATGAGGTGAAGGCTTTGTAAATTATACCTGTGGTTGCAAATGGTCATTCAGTTCAGTCAAAATACCACTGTGTCGAAGTTGGCATGACCATGGCCTACGGAAATTCTTCGAGTTAGCCGAGGTTCGACGAAACATGATGACTATTTAAGGAATTGTTACGAATTTGAGACTGCCGTACGTTCCATGCATAACGGTGTTTAGCTTTTTTGGATTTCATAAAGCTTCTCCATCTGTATATTGAATGAGTTCACCAAGAACAGTCCGTGTACAAACAGACTGGTGAAAACTCTTACAAGACGCTTCTGAATATGCCAACCGGTATGCTTGTAGTTTAAATGAAAAAACTAATGTGCTGACACATTTTTGTCCTCTTCATTGACAGGTCTGTCCGGGACCTCTGGAGCGCTCTGGCGCGAACAAAGACGCTTCGCCCTCACCACTCTCAGGAAGTTTGGAGCGGGCAGGAACATCATGGAGGACAAAATACACGAAGAGGTCACGAACTTTGTCGAGGCTTTGGAGACAGAACGAGGACAAGGGTTTGAATGCAAACTTCTGGTGCAAAACGCAGTATGCAATGTCATCTGTTCCACTATGTTCAGCAAGCGATTTGAATATACCGACCCGCTATTCGTGAAAGCTTTGAAAGCTATGGATGAATTTGTTGCCAACTTGGGTACTTCTGGTCTGTTGAATGTGCTGCCTATTGTGCGATTTCTACCAGGGGATCCATTCAAATTTAAGAAGACTGTTCAGAGTAGCCAAACCATGGTTTCACTTCTCATAGAGCCTATGATAAAGGAGCATTTGCTGACCCACGACGGTAACGTTGACGACTTCATCCACGCCTACATCAAGGAAATGCGACTACGGAAAGAAACGCAAGAGGAGACGACCTTAGACAGTAAGCATCAAGAGAACGAATCTTGACTTTTTTCTGCTTGTATTGGACAGTTTATAGCCGATTCATTGGGTACCTGTTGCTTTGTTATGGGACAAGAGACGTTTCCTGGATATGTTGTTCATGTGTAAATCATAATGTGAGAGGATAATTGTGAATATGAGTTCAATCAGTTCAGGTCTGAAAAATACGCATTTCACCAACCCCTGAGCATATCAGATCCAGCACGCCATCTCGATCCTATTATGACAAAGTCGTACGTCTCAAGTACAAATGTCTTAATCTAGTCTGACGTCAGGGAGTGATCGAGTTTAGTTTTACGTCGATTTTAGCAATATTCCAGCAATATCACGGCGGGTGAGAAAGCGTTTGCTCGTCACATTGAAGGCCCGGGTTCGATTCTCCATCTCTGGTGTCCCCCGCCGTGACATGGCTGGAATATTGCTAAAGGTGGAGTAAAACCCAACTCACTCACTCATTCCCCTTTAGAAAATCTTATGACACAACATGGAAGCATGGTATTTTAAATGAGTTTCTGGTTTGTCCTTTGTAGACAGACCTTTATTATTATTCAGATTGTTCTCATCGCTATATAGCTGCAATACTGCCGATACGATGTAAAATTTTAACCCACTCACTCACTCACACAAAGATTTGTACGATTCCATAGATGGATCACTTTTGTGGATGACTATTATATTTTCTGTCGTGGCAAAAACATGAATACTATTGAAACGAAGCTAAAATTGTGTTTACATAAATCGATAAATGGTGTTTAGAAAATGAACTTAAATTTTGAAAATAAAAAACTAATTGCATCCATTTTTGTCGAAAATATAAACATCACAAAGACCCGGAATTGCTTTTAGATGGCATCATTAATAACGTTATAAAGGAAGCTAAGTATTATTTCCTGGGCATTATTTCGATCACCATTTAACATTTCGTCATCATATATAGTTTTTGAAAAATATAGGCCTGAAAGCACTTAATATATTGAAAGTTATTTCTAACTCAAAGTGGGGAGGGAACCAGAAGACCATATACAGAGCGTTGATATGTTCTCAACTTGATTATGGCTAAATCACTTATGGTGGAGCTTGTAAAAGCAATTTAAAAATACTAAATCCCATTGATCACCAAGGCCTCAGGCTCTGCCTTGGAGCCTTCAGAACTTCACCCATTCAGAGTTTATATGTGGATGCTGATTATTTGTCCTTTAAACAACGTCGAATTAAGTTATCCTTACATAATATTTCTAAATTACGTTCCCTTAGATCCAATCCAGCCTATGATTGTGCTTTTAATCCTCTAGTTTTATGTCTCTAACTGTGATATTGTAGTTGTTTTACCGTCCTTCGGCGACAGATTTTATAATATAACATTATAAACTATTTCAGTATGACCTGTTTAAATCACGATATGGATGAAGTGACAATGTGACTGTAAACATTAACTCACTCACACGTCAGTGAAGGAGATCTATATTGAGGTTGATGTTCTGTTTCAGTGGAGAACTTGGTCAGTGTTATTGTAGACCTCTTTGGAGCCGGAACAGTAACCACAGCCACTATCATACTTTGGACACTGGTCTATTTACTGCATAACCCGGATGTACAGGAAAAGTGTTTTCAGGAAATCAAAGAAAACATTGGCCAGAGCAGATTGCCCTCCATGAAGGACAAGATCAACGTGCCCTACGTGGAGGCAACCATTATGGAAGTGTTGAGACGAGCTGATATCGCCCCCACATCAGTCCCTCATACCGTTCCCCATGATGTCCAGTTCGGGGGATACACGTTCCCCAAAGGTGTCCCAGTCATAGTGATGCTTGATTCGGTCCTACAAGACCCGGATGTTTGGGGTGACCCCGAAAATTTCCGACCGGACCGTTTCCTTGACGACACCGGCAAGATTGTAAAGAAAGAAGAGTTCATTCCGTTCTCTCTGGGTGAGTATAGTCGCCGGGAAAGACATAGCCCCTAAATGTAATATTAATATATAATTAAAATGATAGTAATATATAAATAATTAAAAATCTATTGAACTTTACGTTGTTTTCTTTTAAAAAATTCCAATAATATACACCGATAAGCAAAAAGAATATCTCTTTACTGAAGTTGAGAATGGGTACCTAGTTAGGATGAGAAAGCCACAATAACTCGGTGCGCCTAGTGGCTGCAAGAGTTGTATACTCCCCAGGGAGTTGAGATTGATAATGCAATGTGCCGTTGAGATTGACATCCAATGATGGAGGGAAAAAATACCAGTGCCTTGAGCATGCACTAGTGCGTGGATATGTGCGCTATATAAATATCCTATAATAATAATAATAATCTCTTCGTCCGTGCAAATTCTAGTTTTCACGCAGTAGAACATAAAAACCATTCTTCACCAAACTTGGCATATAGATAGATCTGGTGGTGAACTGGTGCCCTTTGGAAGTTTGGGATATCGGAATAAACGGGTTTTTTTGCCTTTCCATGGAAACAAGTTTGACTTTGACTGAAATGGGTGCAAATGCTCCTTTTCGTCTTTTGGTAGTTGAGGATTTCTAAATAATATTTTTTTTTGCGTTTCCATGGCGACAATTTTGACTTTGACTAAAATTGGTGGTAGTTTGAACCTAATGACATAAATCAACAGTACCGCTCTATTTCTGCAGCAGCATTACTGAGGTACATCAAACCGTGGAAGCACTCAGGCAGTCTGTTGATACAAACATGCTAGTATATGCATAGTTTACATATGTGAGTTTTTGTTAGACCCATGTGAAGAACAATGTAACATTTGACATAGTCATAACTAGCTGACATACTCATAAAGAGTATTTTACCATTGCGGGGGATAGTGATGACTTTGTCTTCTTGTTTTGCTTGCTGCTGACACGATATGCGACACTTCACCAGGACTACGAAAGCTTAAAACCTACGTTACCTATCACGGTTTCTTTTTTGGATATATTGATTAACACTGGATAGAAACGGAGTACATGAACTTCCGATGAATTTCGGATGCAAGTTGAGGGCTTGAAAGTAAATGATCGGGTAACTGTATGTGAAAAAAGTGTGCTCATGTCTTTTTGGACGCCAAACTCGAATTTCCACGGCCTACTTTGAGGAAGACTATTGACTTCAAGCAGAAAAACGTTAAGGTAAGTAGCAATTTGTTACTCATTGAATATCAATTGTATGTGAAGGAAGGATGTTTTTTATGGGCGCTTTGTTGTTTTCTCGGGTATCAGAGATTCATATTGTAAAAATTATTAATTACCTCAAAATTGAATGAAATAATTGCTGCGCAGATGTCATCATCCTTGCAACAAACTGTACAGAGGAACATTGATTTGAATGCAACCTTAAAACTCACATGCACTGATGTGAGCAAAGTAATAACAACCAATTTACCCTTGCCCATGAAACTGCAAGTTGTTCGTGCATTGTTTAAAACGTGTATGTCCTTTCTAACTTTATCAGAAACGTCAGAATTGTCAATGTCAACACCATCTGCAAAGGTTTATTCGTGCACTGTTTAAAACGTTTTTGTCCTTTCTAACTTTATCAGAAACGTCAGAAGTGTCAATGTCAACACCATCTGCAAAGGTTTATCGATTAATCTAGAAGGGTGCCTGTCCCAGTGGAACTCGTGATGGGTTTATGACCTTTAAGAAGTGCCTAGCCAGTCCCCAAAGACGTCAGTGTGAAAGCAAACGTAATTCAGGTATGTTTAGTTGTTAACAGATATATTCAACAGCCATTATACTCCAAGGTCTTTGTTTCATCTGGCGGTAACTGTATTTGAACACTTCAAGAATTTATTTAGTGCTTTAATGTTCACTTTCACAAATCATCTTTAATTATATTTGTTAACTGTTGAAAACTCGTTACACATTTTTGAATATCTTTAAAATACACGATCTGTCAATTCTTCCTTCCAGAAATCTTCCATGTCACATTGTCCTCCTGAGAGGATACGTAAGTCCCAAAACATTCTAAGTATATTTAATCTTTCCACGTTTTTTATCGCAGAATATGTGTTCTTATATTTATGGCTAGATCGGCCTAAATTGCTGAAAGCTGAAGGGATGGTGTTAATCCAGCTAGGGTCCATGAAGGAAGCAAATGTACTGTAAGTCCCCATGGTCCCTAGTATGGTGATCTACCTTTAGTTGTCGGCAATCCATAGCCGGTTTTTATATTGTATTGTCTTTTGTAGTATATATCTTTAAGATATGCATACTAGTTTTATATTCATAACTGATATTCTAGTTGTTTCACTGTCCTTCGTTGGCAGGATCTTTATATTTGTCATGTATTTATGATGAAATATGGCTGAAATATTGCCGATGTGACTATAAACCTTAACTCACTCACTCACTCACTCACTCCAGTGTCATGCCACAGACACCTTTCTATTTTCTTGAAATACTGTTTTAAAACGAAACTCGTCTTCCACTGAAGTTGCCTTTAGAGGGGATTTGGTAACGAATGTTTAGCCGCGACCTAGTCCGCCCTAACAAATATTCCTGGCGGATATACCTCACATTCGTCTCTTAAGGTATGTTTTATAAATATGTTCATAAATAATTTCTGTTTAGTTGTACGCCCTGTCTATACAACAGTAATTTATGATGCTACATACATTAGTTCAAGAAAATCTATTCTTTAAAATGTATGAACGCAAACATATATGGCATGTTATTGCATCACTTTTTTATTATTTCCCCAGGTTAATAGTCACAGTTACTAGTTTGTTACCCGTTCGTTCAAGACGATGACCAGCTGAATGTTGAGATGACACAAGAAGAAAAGTCTGTTGCCTTCCAGGATGGTTATTCTTGATGCTGGATTCACTACTGCTATTATGAATTAAGACTGTTAATACTGCTGTCCAATGCGTTTTTGAAACCACAGCAAAACAGTGACTGGGGTATACGCCATCAGAAACTGCGTAACCTGCCGTAAGAACCTAAGAGAGGTGACATCATGCACCTAGGCAAACCAACATGCATGGCGCTTCTAACAACATGAGGATGCAAAAGAACGGACTTCTTGTCACAGCTGAAAGAACTGTTTTCTGTGAAATGAGCTATACACCCTTCTGCTCATTAAAGTCAGATACTCCTCGTTCTTCTCTTTCTTACACTCAGTATACACACACACACACACACACACACACACACACACACACACACACACACACACCTGTCTTTATGTTCCATTCCTGCTTGCAAACGGTACAAGAATCTGTATCGAAGCGTCACACTCACGAAATAAAGAAGTTGTTATCCATAAAGATTGTTCAATGTTCCCAGCTTCTAAAATACCACTCAAAGAAGTTCGTCGTGTTATCATTAATGTTTCAGTATAATCCTTTCAGATTGTCTTTCTTAAGTACTTCAACCCTATTCCTGAAAGGTATGTATGTATGACATGTATTAGTTGAAACGCAAAGATTTTAAATGTTTCAGGTCGAAGGGTTTGTCTGGGTGAGTCGATGGCCCGGATGGAGTTGTTCCTCTTCCTGACCACCATGATCCAGAAGTTCAAGTTCGTCCCGGTGGATGGTCAGATGCCTTCCTTGGATGCAATCATAGGCTCAACGTATACTCCAAAACCATTCCTCGTGAAAGCCATTCCTAGGATGTAATCATTTTATGTTAATGAGAGAGAAGGATGAGAGAGAGAGAGATTAAGATAAGAGATGGAGGGCCCAGATCATTTATAAATTATATTACATCCCCGAATACCAATGACAGCTTACATGCTTCTTTTTGCATTTCGGAACATACATTTTTGCGTCAAGTAAGTCTATGAGAAAAAACTAAAATGCACATCTTTCTCGTATAAGCGTTTCACGGTGAAAAAGAATGTCGCCGTCAGCATGCTTATTACAAGGTTTGTTTCTTTGGAAAGATTATTGCGTGATGAGACTGTCACACAAAGTTTGTAAAGCAGATCGATAGTCCAGGTACAGAGATTTCCAAAGTACATCTTAATTTTTTCTCTCGTTACCTCGATTACTTTCTCATAAGTGTAATTATTTATCGTTTTGGCATTAGCAAATTCGTTTGGTTGTGTTTGATTCTCAACCATTTGGTAACTTTCTTCAGGGTATGGACCTAACATGGTGAATTGTTAGTTTGGTTTTGCTGGTCAGATTACATGTGTACTGTAATATTGCAGACTACGAAACACCAAAGCAACAGCACTATTTTTGTACAACTTTTCCTATTTACTAATTTAAAACCAATGTATTGTGATATGAGATCATGTGTTCGTAGCGGGAGCTGTGTAAGTGTTTTCGTTGATTGTCTTTTGATTGAAGTCAGGGCTGTATTTGGAGTCCGATGTTATTTTCATTTTTCATTGATGAAATGTGTGTTGAAATAGCTTCTAATGGTACACATGGTATCCAATTGTTTCCATATAAGTTTTGATGCTATCATTATTCATATTAAAGGAACTGGTTCTCACTCACAATGAATGTGAAAAAAATGTTCCTCAAACTTAAGCTTTCAAGCATACACGGAAGGCTTTAATATACTAAGCAGCAAAAGAAACGTCAGTTTGGAATTTTCCTTCGCAGAAACGGATAACTGTAAACTCATTTAATGTTTTGATTGTATATTTTTGACAACATCTCCAACTTTACCTGAGCAAGACGTTCCTTCCAAAAAATCAGAATTGAACCCAGGAAATGGTCACAAAAACGCAACCTGACCTCGGAGATGATACGGTGTTCTCCATGTTTTTCGTGCAGCTCATGCTGCTCGTGCTGTTCAGAAGGACCAACCCTATAAAATGCACCCCCAAACCTGGTTGAAACATTCACATTACAACGTCAGCAGGATGCCGCGACACACGACAGCTCAGAGGAACCAGGCGCTAGGCAGACTAGAAGGTCAACGTTCGGACCATCTACAGGCTGCAGCAACGTTTCCGGGCCACCAACACAACAAATGATCGCCCCCGTCCTGGCAGGCCAAGGGTTATCACAAGACGACAAGACGGCCATGTTGTGCGATAGCTTGTACAGAATCCCTTCATGCAGGCATCCGAAACAGCACGGCAGACAGTGGGAACATACGGAAGACCAATCGGTACTGATACAGTACGCCGACGTCTTAATAGCGGGAACCTTCATTGCCGAAGACCTTACCGTGGACCTATCCTCACCCCTCGACATCGGCGTGAACGTCTACAGTTTGCCCTACAAGACCAAAACTGGCGACACAGGCAATGGATAACTGTTCTGTTCACAGATGAGAGTCGGTACTGCGTATCAACTGCAGATGGCAGAACAAGAATATGGCGAAGACATGGCCAGCGTTACTAAGACCAATGTGTTATGGAAAGAGACTCATGGGCTAATATTACGTACAATTACCAGCAGCTGAAGGGATGGTATATCTCCAGCTTGGGTCCATGAAGGAACACATGTTCTGTCAGTCCCGATGGTCCTTAGTATTGTGATCAAGCTTCAGTTGCTGACTATACTCAGGCAAATCCAATTTTAGAGATAGATGCAAGTTTATATTCTTGATACTGTGATATTCTAGTTGGCTTTACTGTCCTTCAGTCGACAGGTTTTTAAAATTAATGCATTTATCATGAAACTATAACTATGTTTAGTCACGATATGGCTGAAATACTGCCATGATGACTATAGGTCAAGGTCTCTTGTATACGGGCTGGACACCTTTCGTAGAATAAACTTCTTGTGGCCTTGATATTTGTGAACTATTTCTATTATCTTACCTTCATGTAAAATACTTTAATTTCATTGGTCAATGACGCTTTAACAAGTTTCCGTGTCACCCCTCCCAGGAGGGTGATAACTGGAAAAAATATTACCTGCTGCCACGGTAACCGCCAAACTCTCCGCCGAGAAGCTGTATCGCTGTCAATCGTATGACGTTATAATATGACGCACGCAGTGCATTGAGTTCGAAAACCGTTCGATTAGTTGTTTTTGAGTTCACTATGTACACATTTATTTTACCGACTTTCATTGCTTTATTTATACTATTTTATACATTGAATCGTTTGCACTCTCAACTTGAACATAGATAACCATTTTTATAGCAGTGTTAAGCTTGTCAGAATGTTTCACTGATTTTAAAAATCCAGTCGAGAAACAGACGCCATTTTGTTTTACATGTCATATAGTCGGTAGCGATCTTTAAAATAAAATAAAATGATATTTTGTACATTTAACATGGCGGTAAGATAAATACGTTGTATGTTTCTCGCTCGGTTAATACGGTCTGATGTACTCCTTTTTGTAGCAGTGTCATCCCTCACCTACCGGCTCGGGTTACACTGCTACAAAGAGGCTTACATCAGACCGTATTACCCTCGAGAGAAGCATACAACTTATATTATATCGGCTGATGCGTGTTGAAAACCATGTTGAGGAATTGGATGGTCACAAGTAACTTGACACAACGGAGATACACCAGCAGGGAACCAGTTGTTTGAATTCTAGAAAACATTACAGGAATATGACTGCAGAGAAAACTCCTCCATTACTATTACCGTTCCAACATCCTCAAAATGGTCCCGTGTAGGTCTAAGATACTCACCTGATGTTAACAGACTGTCTTGTCTGGTACCGTATGCACTTCATGGAAACAGAGTAGGTTTAGTCCAGTGTGATATGCACCTGTCAGTAACAGATACTGGGTCTAATCACCTGCAATATGTGCCTGATGATACCAGAGACAAGGCCTATTCTAGTACAATATGTGCCTGATGGCACCTGAGACAAGGCCTACTCTAGTACAATATGTGCCTGATTTTACCGGAGACAAGGCCTACTCAAGTGCAATATGTGCCTGATGATAACAGATAATGGATATAATCTAGTGCAATGTGTGCCTGATGATAACAGATAATGGGTTTAGTCAAGTACAATATGTGCCTGATGATGATAATAATAATAATAATAATAATACTACAGTAGATTTGTTAGGCGCCAAAAACTCCAGGCACTTGGTGTCTGCTAATGGCGCTACACAAAATTAAAAAACACTGCAGTAGAGGTGCTATATTTTCACTGGTATATCAATCACTGGTAGATCAAGCAAATGATCTCTGCCCATACTTTTATGGTAATGGGTCTAGTGATACCAGAGACAAGGCCTACTCAAGTGCAATATGTGCCTGATGATAACAGATAATGGATATAGTCTAGTGCAATGTGTGCCTGATGATAACAGATAATGGGTCTAGTCAAGTGCAATGTGTGCCTGATGATAACAACAGATAATGGGTCTAGTCTAGTGCAATGTGTGCCTGGTGATAACAGGTAATGGGTCTAGCCTAGTGCAATGTGTGCCTGGTGATAACGGGTAATGGGTCTAGCCTAGTGGAATGTGTGCCTGGTGATAACAGGTAATGGGTCTAGTCTGGTGCAATGTGTGCCTGGTGATAACAGGTAATGGGTCTAATCTAGTGCAATGTCTGCCTGATGATAACAGAGAACGGATCTCGTCTAGTGCAATAAATGCCTGGTGATAACAGGTAATGGGTCTAGTCTAGTGCAATGTGTGCCTTATGATGACAGGTAATGGGTCTAGTCTAGTGCAATGCGTGCCTTATGATGACAGGTAATGGGTCTAGTCTAGTGAAATGTTGGGGCGGTGGGGTAGCCTAGTGGTTAAAGCGTTGGCTCGTCTTGCCGACGACCCGGGTTCGAATCTACACATGGGTACAATGTGTGAAGCCCATTTCTGGTGTCCCCCGCTGTGATGTTGCTGGAATATTGCTACAAGCGGCGTAAAACCAAACTCAGTCAGTCAGTCAGTAGTGCAATGTGTGCCTGATGATAACAGATAAGGGGTCTAGTCTAGTGCAATGTGTGCTTGATGATAACAACAGAAAATGGGTCTAGTCTAGTGCAATGTGTGCTTGATGATAACAACAGATAATGGGTCTAGTCTAGTGCAATGTGTGCCTGATGATAACAGGTAATGGGTCTAGTCTAGTGCAATGTGTGCGTGATGATGACAGGTAATGGGGGTAGTCTAGTGCAATGTGTGCCTGGTGATAACAGATAATGGGTCTAGTCTAGTGCAATATGTGCTTGATGATAATAACAGATAATGGGCCTAGTCTAGTGCAATATGTGCTTGATGATAATAACAGGTAATGGGTCTAGTCTAGTGCAATGTGTGCCTGATGATAACAGGTAATGGGTCTAGTCTAGTGCAATGTGTGCCTGATAATAACAGGTAATGGGTCTAGTCTAGTGCAATGTGTGCCTGGTGATAACAGAGAATGGATGTAGTCTAGTGAAATATGCACCTGATTGTAACAGTCACAGAGTCTTGTCTAGTGCAATGGGCACCTGAAGGTACGAGAGACTGGACACGGTAAGAGGACAGAGGACTGGACAGAGGTGTCGCAATAGCTTGGACATATGCCTTTCAGAGGTGCTTGTCAACTCGCACGAAAATGACCCGCTCACAACTGTGTCGTCTTCACTCCAACAGAACTAAGTCTAGAACATTTCAGCGGATTCACTGTAATCCTCAATATGTTACAGTGTATACTTATAAACATATCATGGGTTCATATTGTTTGGGGGCGGTGGGGTAGCCTGGTGGTTAAAGCGTCCGCTCGTCACGCCGAAGACACGGGTTCGAATCCCCACATGGGCACAAAGTGTGAAGCCTATTTCTGGTGTCCCCCGCCGTGATATTGCTGGAATATTGCTAAAAGCGGCGTAAAACCATACTCACTCACTCACTGCTATTGTTTGTAACACGTACGATTTGAGGAGTGGACAAAAGCAGACAATGGTGACATATTGGCCTTGATTTGATTTAAACTATATTATTCACAAATGTGAAAGGGATTGGGGACAGGTTATCCAGCTTAAAATACCCGCTCCCTAATATTTACATACATACTTTTTCAATTATATACATCTTAGGAAAGAATAGAGAGATGAGATAGGAAAGTTAGAGAGAGAAGAGAGGAAGGACACAACTTATGTGGTCACTCAAAACGTTTTGATTGATGAATAAAAGTTTGCATACATTTGAAAACGTATTCATTCTGTTGAATAGTCATATCAGGACTTCCAAGTAACATCAATGACAATGTGATTGGAGAGTCACGTTTCACAATATATTTTTTTAATTTAACATTAATATCTCTCTTTGAAGTTACAGTTTACACTCTAATAGGAAGGGATGTACATTTTCAAAAGCATTGTCAGAGTAACAAGAAGCAGAATCTTTCATGTTGAAACGATACAGATCATAATTTAGTTGACTAGTCATACGAAAAAACAAGACAAATGAATCCTTCGTAAATAAATGATAGTGTAACTAATTAATTTAGTCATTTACAATAAAAGCTGACTGAATGTTTATAACATTATACATTATTCATGTTAGATCACGTTAAATAATTTGTAGAGAAATCAGTTCATATCACATATAATTCCAGAGAGAGAAAAGTATATGAGATTCTAGTTTATGAAAAGCATTAAATTCCAAAATAAGCAATCCAATCTGGTCTCTAATGCTCAGGAATTATTACATCTTATATGACCATAGTTTGAGAAAAGTGTTCAAATCTACAGTCGCGCGCCTGATGTTTAATGCGATTTTTAAAAGGCTTGAAGCGACATCTGCATGTTCATCTTTTGTTGTATTGATGTAAAATATGTCTCTGTAGTGACACCCGCGACGAAGGAACTTATATTTGTTTAGAAAATGTTAAAACCTGCATTGAGAACACAACGCCAATTGTAATCCAATACTTGTTTAATCGGTATTCTTAAAGTACGACTTTGCAGAGGCCGAGTTCTTGTTGATGCATAGAGGGGCGTTTGGAACCATGTCTATTCTCACACCGTTATCAAGATAAAAGTTACTACAACTAGATAAATAGAAGTATATATGCATAGTGAGTGAGTGAGTGAGTGAGTGAGTGAGTGAGTTAATATTTATGAATATGATCTGTATCGTTTCAACATGAAAGATTCTGCATGAAATATGATCTGTATCGTTTCAACATGAAAGATGGCAATGCTTGTGAAAATGTACATCAGTTCCTATTAGAATGTAAAAGTTAAATCATATCGGCAATATTGCAGTCATATCGTGACGAGAACAATTTCATTTATGTCAATATTTAAATCAAGAAATTTAGAACATAAAAACCTGTCATCGAAGGACAGTAAAAATACTAGACTATGAAAGCTCTTAGTTTAAAACTAGCACGCTATCATAAAAATAAATCACTAGAGACAAGAGTACAATATAAAAAGCGGGCTTTAGATCATCAGCAACTGAAGGTTGATCACCATACTAGGGAACAAGTGACAAGTAGAAGATTAACCACAACAACAACAGCAACAACAACAACAACAACAGGTAATTTAGCAAGTAGCACACCGTTGGATGGGGCCAGCAGGAGAGTAAGATCAACAGATTGTAAACAGGGTGATTGGATGCTAATTGAACAGCTGTGTGACAGACTCTATCTGTAAATCAACTTCATTATGACAAAGTCGAAATCCACTCCATTGTCCAAGTGATGGAATCAATCAACATTCAATCAGCTTGTTTATCCTGAAATGCTGCTCTATGCAATAAACAGGGAGTTGTTATCACGTAAGTGGCATGTTTCATTATGTCCCCCATACTGTTTACTGCAGTATAAGTGAGATCTGCTTCAGTTTGCGAATGACCAATCTTTTGAAGTTGATTAAAGTTCTACTTTAGAAAACTGCTATCTAACAAATAGATCTCATTCCAAATTCTTGTAATCATATTTCAGTTACTAAGAAATATTTTATCTTTACATATTAGATATAAATCTACCGGTACCAGTTTGACGTGTATGGTCATAAAGTAATTAACGTAGTGATTATATATTTCTTTACATATGTCATTACATATGTCATTAAAGCGTCACTTATGTCATTATAATGTTCCCTGACCCATTTCATCATACAGCATTTATTTCATTCCATGTTTTGAAGCTCATGTGATAACATGAAAAATGTTCCTGCTCCAGTTCATTTTGAAGGGTGAAATTATTATCAATTAACTATCAATTTCGATGTTATGTATGACTGCATGCACACACACGCGCGCGCGCGCACAGACACAAAAAAAACCAAAAACACACAACAAAAACAACATACGTAATATGTGAATTCTGTTCGGACGAAAAAAGAAATATTTAATTTAATAAGAATGCTATATAAATTAACTTCCGTCACTCTGAGAGAAGCATGACATTATTCGTCTTAACTGATTTGACTCACTCATCAATTAACAAGGCAGTAGGTCTTGAGACGTACAAAGAACATTCATTTACATACTGGAGGAGTTCATTACCAACCAGTTATCTCCCCTTGTGGACATTTCCAAAATTGTAATATTTTGTAAATCTCATATTTACAAAATTGCAAATGTCTTGTAAACCTCATCTTTCCAAAATTGTAAATGTCTTGTAAACCTCATCTTTACGAGACATTTACACGCTTGTAAATGTGGACTTTTTCCAGTGACGCTCACTTGACAAAAACATGTAGTTTCTAATGGAAATACTTTCGGAAAATAAGAATGATTCACGCTAGGCATGACTGAGTTTGATATTCGACGCATCACCATTGAAACATGTTCGGGAAGCTGAAATATATCTTGGGTTGGCACGCTCAAATCCTTTGAATTGCTTTCATGACGAATGGTCTTGGGTAATGAGTTATGCCGATAAGTCCATCCAAGGAAGGCATCTGGCCGTCCACGGGGACAAACTTGAACCTCTGGATCATGGTGGTTAGGAAGAGGAACAACTCCATCCGGGCCATCGACTCGCCCAGACACACCCTTCGACCTGAAACATTTACAACCCTACAGTATCAACTCTTACAGTTTTCCTTGTTCCAGATGTACAAGATATACTCGTGTCACGATTTATGTCATGTAACAGGATCGACTTAGTATGTTTGACAATTTGCTGATATTGCTTCAAACACTGCTGGTACATGGTAGGGTTTTATCTGGACAGTGTGTACGAATATAGTTAGAATTGTGGAAACAACAAGGTAAGTTATAATTCGTTAATGTATACACGACATTAGAGGCTGTGTTGAACTCACCTAGAGAGAACGGAATGAACTCTTCTTTCTTAATAATCTTGCCACTGTCGTCAAGGAAACGGTCAGGCCGGAAGCTTTCTGGGTCACCCCATACATCCGGGTCTTGTAGGACGGAATCAAGCATCACTATGACCTGTACACCTTTTGGGAACGTGTATCCCCTAAACTGGACATCATGGGGAACGGCGTGTGGGAGAGCTGTAGGGACGATATCTGATAGTCTCAAAGCTTCCATAATGGTTGCTTCCACGTAAGGCAGGTTGGTCTTGTCCTTCATGGTAGGTCGTCTGCTCTGGCCGATGTGTTCTTTGATCTCTTGAAAACACTTCTCCTGCACATCCGGATTACTGAGTAGGTAGACCAGAATCCATCGAATTGTAGTGGAAGTAGTTTCTGTCCCTGCTACGAATAGGTCTCTAATAACCATGACCAGGTTCTCCACTGAAAAAAATCAAATTAATCTCAGCTAATTGTAGAGGACTTGCTCATAAATCTAAGAGAAAAGAATTGATGAATATATATAGGAAAAGATTATATTCCATAATATGCTTACAAGATATTCATATTGATGAATCCACCTCAAATATCATGAGAAATGAATGGGGTTTACAGTCCATTATAGCTCCTTTCAAATCTAATTCTAGAGGTGTTGCCATACTCTTTAATAATGATACTGATATCAAGATACATAAGACCTTAATAGATGAAAATGGCAATTATATACTGAGTCAAAAAAAAGAAACTTCACAAAATGTAATTTGAAAAATAATGAATATTTTTTCTCTGATGATACATCTATGTATCCGAAATGGGATCCCTATCTTTCGACTCTAGAAAAACGTTAGCAAAACCCACTCAAACCCATCCATTCGTCGTGCAAATGACGTTAGTGCCAAATCAGGTTTTGCACGTGCAGTCGATCACGTGATCTTCGCATCGAAGTTTTCTTCATATGTACGTGTTTGCATTGGCCTCAAGAATTGAAAAAACACTTTTAAACACCAGTTCTAACGGTACTTGAAATGCCACGATTGTCAAATGTGCAACGTGAACGTGCCGTTGGCATGTTGCAAGCGGGAAGATCAGTTATTGACGTCGCAAGAGCAATGGGATGCAGCCGTCGTACTGTGTATGACTTGCGAGGTCGTCTACAACAAACTGGCACCACTTCTGATCGCCCAAGGTCGGGTCGTCCACGTGTGACGTCACGAGCAGAAGACCGTCAAATCGTCCTACGTAACCTACGTGACAGATTTCTGCCGGCTACACGAACCAGGGCTGAGATGTTTATAGGTCGACTGTCCTCACAGACCATTCGAAATCGGTTGCGGGCTGCCAATCTCCATTCTCGACGTCCATATCGTGGGCCAATATTGACGCCGTTTCATCAACGTCAACGTCTGGTCAACGTCAACGTCTGGTCACCCGTGGAAACCTCACAGCTGCTGCTTACCACGACCAGGTGCTCACCCCTGAACTCGTTCCTTTCATGGCGGCTCATGGCCCAGGTCTACAGTTCCAGCATGATAATGCTCGGCCGCATACCGCGATGTTGACACGAAATTTCCTTCAAAACGCTGGAATTAACGTCATGGACTGGCCATCGAGGTCCCCTGACCTTAATCCAATAGAGCACGTTTGGGATGCACTTGGGAGAAGGCTTCGTGGTCTTAGGAACCAACCTCAGAATTTGCAGGAATTTGGCGCTGCCTTGCAGGAGCAATGGCGCAGAATCCCCAACCACGTGTTCACAAGCATCAGGCAGTCGATGAGGAGACGGTGTTTGGCAGTGGTGAATGCGCGGGGCGGCCATACACGATATTGAACTGAGAAATTTCGCATTTTTATTCTTGTGACTTGACATTCTGTATACCCGTGTTTTGGAACGGCGGTGTAGCCTAATGGAACTGATTATGGCATATATTATTGTTGATATTTCAATAGAAGATAAAAGAATAACACTAACTAATCTCTATGGTCCTAATAATGATGATCCTAAATTTTATATTAATCTATTTGAAAATATTTTAAAATTTGAAAATGATTCTGTAACTAAAAGTTGGAGTTTGGAACCTAGTGCTTGACCCTACAATTGACCTTGAGAATTATAAGCATGGAAACAACCCAAAATCGAGAAATACTGTAGTAGAATTTATAGAAACTAATAATCTTATTGACATTTGGAGAAAGTTGAATGATAAATCTAGAAAATACACCTGGTGGAAAAAAAGCCAAGACAACAAGCCAGACTTGATTTCTTTATTGTATCAGAAGACATTTTCGATATAACGTTGGATTCAGATATTCTGCCAGGCTATAAAAGTGATCACTCAACAATAACATTAACCTTTTCGAACACTTTAAATCAGGAAAGAGGAAGGGGCTACTGGAAGTTAAATAATTCCTTACTATTAAACACTGAATATGGTAATTTAGTAAGAACTGTCCTAAATGATACTATTCAAGGATATTCAACAGAAAAAAATTATGATTTCAAAAACATTGATCACATCAATCTTACAATTTCTGATTCCTTATTCTTAGAAACTTTATTAACGAAAATTCGAGGAAAGACCATATCTTTCTCATCCTACATAAAAAAAAACAAAAGCTAAAAATACAGAAGAACTGGAACTAAAAATAAAACAGGTTGAGGACAATATTAGAAAAAACTTTCAAAACATAGATGAAGAACTTCTTAGTGAATTATCAAAGTATAAGAAAGAAATGGAAGAAATCAAAAATGGGGAAATGAAAGGAATACAAATCCGAAACAGAATTCTTTGGTACGAAGAAGGAGAAAAACCTTCAAAATATTTCTGCCATCTGGAAAATAGAAATTTCTCAAAAAAATCAATCAATAAATTGATAACTAATGATAACAAAGAAATTACAGACAGTAAATCAATACTTAATGAAGTAAAGTTATTTTATAAAAATCTCTATGCTGCTCAGGAACAGAATAAGGAGGAATTCTTCTTGAATCACTCTTTGAATGATATAAAAACTCCAACTCTTAACAAAACACTAAGAGACAATCTTGAAAAAGAAATCAGTATGGAGGAAATTAGCAATGCTGTTTACAAGATGAAGAATAATAAAAGCCCAGGGATTGATGGATTTCCTATTGATTTCTTTAAAAAATTGGAAAGAATTAAAAATATGGATTTATAGATTCGTTAAAAATGTATCAACTAAGAATGAAATGTCTTTAAATATGAAAAGGGGTGTCATCACCTGTATTCCAAAATCCAATAAAGACAGAACATTACTTAAAAACTGGAGGCCTATCACTTTACTCAATGCTATTTATAAAATTATCAGCTCCTGTATTGCACATAGATTAAAAGCTACTTTAGATAATCTTATTCATTGTAATCAAACTGGTTTTATACCAGGTAGGACTATTAGCGAAAATACAAGACTGCTATATGACATAATGTTCGAAACAAAGAAACAAAACATTCCTGGCTTGCTAATTCTGATTGATTTTGAAAAAGCATTTGACACTGTTTCTAAAAATTTTATCAACCTAGTTTTACATAAATTTGAATTTGGCCCCGAAATGATAAGATGGATAAATATATTGACTTTTGAAACAACATCTTGTGTCATCCAACATGGTAATCTCTCTGAATTCTTTGCTAATGAACGAGGATGTAGACAGGGAGACCCACTTTCCCCTTACATTTTTCTTTTTGTAGCTGAGATTCTTGGTTGTATGATAAGAAACAATGAAAACATTAAAGGTATTGTCATCAATGATAAGGAATATAAACTGGATCAATACGCTGATGATACCGAACTATTTCTTGATGGAACGGAGGAGTGTTTATATCGTGCTATCGACACAATTAATGCATTTTATAAAATGTCAGGTTTGAAAATAGATTTAGATAAATCAAAAGCCATCTGGATTGGATCAAAAGCTAAATCTACTGATAAAATATCTAATGACCTGAAAATTGAATGGGTAACGGGTGAATTCGATGTATTAGGTATTAAATTTAGTCCAGATCTTGAAAACCTATGGGTAATCAACACCAGAAAGAGACTGGAAGAAATTAATAGACTCTTAGCATCTTGGAAAAAAAGACATTTAACACTTATTGGTAAAATAACAGTAATAAGAACCCTAGCAATCTCCAAACTAGTTCATATTTTCAATTCCTTGCCCAACCCTCCAGCAGAATTTATTACTTCGCTTGAAAAACTATTTTTTAAATTCATTTGGAATGATAAAAATGACAAAATAAAGAGGAGTGTAATAAAAAGTAGATATGAAGATGGAGGATTGAGAATGATTGATACAAGTAGATTTATTGATGCTTTGAAATTATCAACCTTAAGATTATATTTTTAAAAAAAGTGAAAATAAAAATCCATGCAATATACCTTTCAAAGACATATTTAACTTTGGAGCTAATTCTGAAAGTTTTCTTGAGATTGAAAACCCTTTTTGGCATGATGTGCTAAAAGCATGGAAACTATTTCACAAACAACATTATGTTGACCAAAATAACATCAATGAAATTTTATCCCAACCACTATGGTTCAATCACAACTTCAAAAACTCTACATATTTTATAAAGAATTGGGCAGAGAAAGGGATTATGAATATTAGGGATATATGTGATGAGAATGGATTACTATCAATAGAATCTTTAAAAGAAAATTATCATATCAAAGGCACTTTTTTAGATTTCAGATATTTACTGAACATATTACCTGAATCTTTGAAATATACTTTAAAGCACTGTCTCTCTATTCCAGTCAGTAATTTGAATGTTAACCAATGCCAGATACATTTAGTAAAAACATCCAAAGGCTGCAGAACTTTTTACGATAAACTTATTTGTAATGATAAATATCCAAACATTTGTAATAAATGGCAGCTTTTATTTCCTGAAACTGACTTTGATTGGAAAAATATATTTACAGTATATAGAAAGGGATTGCAAGATACAAAGCTTATAGACTTTCAATATAGATTTCTACAAGGTATTATTTACACAAAAAAGGAATTGGTCAAAATGAAAAAATTGACAACAGTTTGTGTTGTTTTTGCAAAGATGTAAATGAGAGTGTGTGTCATGTGTACTGGGAATGTCAGGAGACTCAAACATTTTGGATAAACCTACAAATTTGGCTTAACAATTATTATCCACATCCATTGAAATTATCAAAAAACATGATTTGGTTTGGTACTCAACATGAAAATAGATTACTAAATCACATCATCATTGCTGCAAAGAGACATATTCACTTATGCTGTATTAAAAATATGCTTCCAAATCTAACTTTCTATATAAAAACTCTAAAAGAAATATTCTTTGTGGAAAAACATATATCAGCAAAAAATGATAAAATAAATAATTTCCATCATAAATGGAGCCTTCTCTCCCCAGTACTTAGATGACTCGAACTGTATTGACTTGTACCTGACATTATCTGTACATTATCTATTTAATGAATTATGCATGTTTATAAATATATTAATACAAAAATATCTCACCTGTACATCATGTAGCCATATTACTTTAAGCCGTACGTATCACGGCTTGGTATATCTGCAATATTGTAATCTTGGGAACCAATAAAAAAAACGTGGGTCAGAATATTCAAATCGCTTTCCGAAAATGGTAGAGCAGACGATATTGGAAATTGCATTTTGCACCAGACGTTTGCAGTCAAACCCTTGTCCCCGTTCTGTCTCGAAGGCCTCGAGAAACTGTGAGATTTCTTCGTGTATTTTGTCCTCCATGATATTTCTGCCTGCTCCGAACTCCCTCAGAGTGTTGAGGGTGAAGCGTCTTTGTTCGCGCCAAAGATCACCAGAGGTTGCAATCAAACCTGTATGATTAAGGTAAGAAGGACCAGTATGAATATCAAAAACACCAAAGATCACCAGCTGCAGAGGTTGCAATCAAACCTGTATGATAAAGGTAAGAATGACCAGTATGAATATAAAAACACCAACCAAAGAGAAAGGCATACTTAGGAACAGAGTCTTTGTCTCACAAATAATAAAATCAAAATATGATTCTATATGTTTCACCCCTGCATTTGAAAGGGCTGAGCGGGCAAATACTTTATAATTTATACATTTTTACTTTATACTTTAACCACTTGAAATTACATTACTCTGGACATCAATGTTACCAATGAGTCCCATCCGGGATTTGAACCTACACTCATCCACAAACGTACAACACATTATTCATAGGAAAAGTATAACTAAGCCAGATTCTTCGAGAAAACAAAGTGGCAGAGCCCCAAAAGGGTCAGTTTTTGGAATTGAAAACCAGGTAACAAATATGGATGCCTTGAGGACATGTATGTGTCCGAAAAAGTCTATTCTAGGGCACATAGCTTGTCCACCAACCAAAAACTGCGCGGTATATCCCCAATTAATTCCCCCAAGGGACAAGTTATTCCAATAATATTGTACAGTGAAATTGTAGAGAAATGATTACTAATTTCAATGAAGTACAGCTATAAGTTCAGGACTTTACACCATAAGCATTATGTCTGCGTTTAACGTTATATAGGTAGATATGATCTATTATTAGATAGCAGATAGACTGATAGAATCTGTCCTGTTCAGGTGAAACAGGGGCATAACCGCTGCGAACACACAGCTCAATTTAATCGCCTTTTTACGACAATCAAAGGGGAGCTAAGTAAACCTTCTAACTCAGATCCCCAGAGGATGTTGCTATGACAGGCGGAGATGCTATGTGGGGACCACAGGACGAAATGTTAAAAACGTATTTAAGAAATATTTGAAATCAGAAGGCATCAAACAAACGTTTTCACTCATGGAAGGCATGTTCTGTAACTTACCTTTCCTTTTTGCAAGGAAGTCATTTAGGAGTGAGTGCGGCCTGTCAGAAAAGACGTCGGCGTTCTTGACAATGGCGTCTTTCAGAGTACTGTAGCCGTTGAGGACGATGAGTGGTTTGTGAAATATGTACACACAAAATATGTCACCGTATTGTTGCCTGAGTTTTTTAAACGTGATCCGGGGATCGGAGCCCATGGAGAGGACATTCCCAACAAACGGGAGGAGAGGGGGTCCGGGAGGGAGCCCTGAGGGTCGCCGCGTTAACAGCCATAACAAAACTAGCACGGCCACACACAGCAACACAGTTGTAGGACTGAAGGCGAATATATCCACCATTGTTGCCTGCTGTCCTCTTTTTGAATCTCACCTATTCTGAACTGTAAAAGTGACTCTCTGAGTGACATTGCGCACACTGTACGTGATTAGATCAGGTGACTACTGACATTTAGTATTACGCAGCAGAATGAGCCAGCTAAAGCTCGTGTCAAAGCGTCCCAGTTTGATAACACAGGCATTACGTAGCAGGTTTACCCACCACAGTATTTAGAGGGACAAAAAAAAAACCCATTATAACAGGCACTCATGATGGTCAGCCTCCTCGTAGTGAGTATTGGGTAACGCTTAAAGCTCTCCCTCCGAGTGGACCCGGGGCAGAATAGGCCCTCAGCACCCCATTGCTGGTCACCAAAGGCCATGTGTCGGTGGAGGACGTCATTCTGGTGGTTGAGGGCACAGGAGCCAGGAACAGTGTTCCTATTGCCCGACACAGAATAAATTTTAGACATTACTTTTATTAAATATTGTGAAAGGGGACAGGTTCTTGGGTTACCGTATCATTTTCAATGAACATTTGATCTTTCGACCACATTTCAAATATTTCAAAAACATAAATGCCTGAAGGCACTTGATTTATTAAACGTTGTCTCCATGTGTTGAGGAACAAATATACGCTTCTCCATACACTTATCCGTTCTAAACTCGATTATGGCTCCATCGCCTATGGTGGAGCCTGCAAACGTTTTAGATTCTATCCACCATCAAGGTCTCAGATTTTGTCTTAGATCTTTTCAAACTTCTCCTGTTGATGGTCTTAACATCGAGGCCGATGACACATCTTTATTTGTTTGCTTGTTGAACGCACTCAGGAATATTTCAACTAACGGTCTGTATTTAATCGAGTCTGGACCAGACAATCCAGTGACCACCAGTAGGAGCCCCGATATACGCATTTGGGATACGATGACATATCTCCACCAATTTAGCGAGCCTGACCGACCGATTCCGTTTGTCGCCTCTTACGAAAAACATGGGTTGCTGAAGACCAATTCTAACCCTGATCTTCACGGGGTTTCAGAAAGGGAAACAATAATAAACGGCACACAGGCCGTCTTGTTTGTTAAGTCAAAGCGACACGCAGATTCGGAAACGAACGATCAGTGTAGACAATAATTGATATTTAAGCTAATTACAATACAATGTATCGTACAATTTTATAAAGCCCCGGGGTTGAAGTATTGTAAACGTATTGTCCTCCTGAGAGGGTACGTAGGTTCAAAAACATTGAAAGTCAATCTAAATCTTTAAATCGTAGACTATGTGTCTTTTTAATGTATGGCTAAATGTGTCTAAACTGCTAACGGCTGAAGGGATGGTGTAAATCCAGATAGGGTCCATGCAGGAAGCACATGTACTGTAAGTCCCCTTGGTCCCTAGTATGGTGATCTACATTCAGTTGTTGGCAATCTATATCCTGTTTTTATATTGTATTGTCATTTATAGTTAACATGTTTCAGATTTAATTACTAGTTTTAAATGGATATCTGTGATACACTAGTAGTTTTACTGTTCTTCGTCAGCAGGTTTTAATTTCTAATTTTATTGATATATGATATAATCATCAGTTGTTGGCGTCACGATATGGCTGAAATATTGCCGATGTGACGATAACTATTAACTCACTATAAAGCCCCCAAATGTACATCTGTTGTATTTAACAAGATTGTATGTACGGTACTGGCTATTTACTTTAATGACAGTTACATGACAGTTACATGACAGTTTATGACAGACTGAAACTGTTTGTTCAACTTCTTGATATCTGGGTAAAAATGTGCGTTTTATTTCGGAAACCATTAACATTACATACTTGAAAACCGCCAGATAATAAGGATCGTGCAGTTTCATTCTAATGTTGTGCTTCTGTTTGCAAAGTTGTATTTGCTTAATGTAACCGAGGATAAAGTCGTCCACGTCATCATCGCTCGGGTCTCTCGTTGACGTGCCCGAGATACATGTGGTCTCACCTTAGGCAAGTGAGTTTGTTGAAACATGCCTCTGTTCACCCAGCAGAAAATGGGTACCCGGTGGGATAAGTAATGTGACTATAACCTTCTAGCACCTCACAGGCAGATTTGGTTATCCGGGGTAATAATGAACTGTCTGTTTGTATGCGCGTCGAGCATGCACTGGGTGTATGGGATTTAGCGCTATAGAAGTACACATTATTATTATTATTAATCAAATCGCTTGCTCAGCATACTGTTGGGTACTGTGTGACATATATCCATTCAAACACCAGCACTGGTGATCTGGCTACAGTTATTGGCAATCTGTAGTCTGTTTTATATTGTATTGTCTTCTATAGTTTATTGTTTTAGATTTGCATAGTAGTCCTATTTTAATATACTATCCCCAAAAAGAAACGCATAGGCGTTTTGTATTTTTAAAATCTTTTAATTACTTATTGTGTTCAAACAATCTTGAAATATGTAACAAAAGTGTTGATAACATGATTTTACACAATTGCACAAGTGAAAAGTCGACTTTACCTGAAAATGTCGATTTTGATGAGATTTCTTACAATAATTAAAAAGGCATCGCCACAACGCAACAAAAATCACTTTCCAGTTGAAATTGTGCAGCAAAGAGAATGCACTGTCTGGCTATAAAAAATCCAGATTACTTTCGGAAATCGGCATCCATTTTGAAGGAATTTCAAGGAAAAATCACTACGCCAAATCTTGACGCTGCAACACGGATCATCGCCATTGAAAGAAAGCGCGCTGGAGATTACCAATTTTCTGTTGCCAGGCGTCTGAATGTTAGTTTGAGCACGATATCACTGCTTGCAGTTCGTTACAACCAAACAGGTATAACAAATGACCGTCCTCGATCGGTACATCAGGGTACTACATTTGCGTGATCATACTGCCACGTGTGAGAGCACAGCTGCCAGGGTGCCTGGACTTCGGAGGATATCCGGTCAAACTGTACGGAACAGGTTGAGAGAGACTGGACTGAGAGCCAGGACATCCGACGTCGGGACCATGCTACGTGGCCACCATCGCGCTCAACGTCTCCGTTATCTAAAATTATCCACTTGGTTGTATAGACATTACCTTCTTTTAAACTGATGTAAAGATTCATTTCTTAAAGTCTATTTGTGGACGAGTTATACATGTTTGAAAATGCAATATTTCCGCAACAGATTTCTGGGTTATGCGTTTCTTTTTTGGAATAGTATATATCTGATATTGTAGTTGTTTTACTGTCCTTCGTTGACACATGTTTTTTTTAAATAATGTAACTGTATGCATTAAGAATGTATCATTTGTTTCAGTCACGATATGGCTGACTTATGTGACTTAAATCGTGACTCACTCTCAAACTATAGCACGTTTATATTTTGTGTTTTCTATATAGAAATATCGTTTCATGATTACAAGCTTGTTTCTAAGTGTTCATCTGTGCTAGTCTGTTATTTTATTGCCTATCGTTGACAGATATTTATTTTGACTAACTATATTTTTAATATAGAACTCTCATAGTTACAATGGGGCTGAAATAGTGCCGATGTGACTTTAAATTTTAACTCACTTACTTACATGCCCGTTCAATCTCGATGACCTGTCACGATGACCCCTTCGGGTGGCTTTCATCCAGGACATTTCTCCCCTTTTAATTGCACGATAGCTCATGTACCGATAGCACACGTAAGTAGGAGGAAGGAAAACAACACTGTGTAAACATTGACAATGTGCAGCTGGGTCTCCCCAAGGCACACTACAGGCAGAGTTGTTATCCGTTGCACTACAGACAGGGTTGTTATCTGGAGCTCTACAGGTTGGGATATAGGACGAAATGTACAGGGCTGAACTAACATACTTGCAGTGCAAGTTTGGATTGTCACATGAGGCTGGAAGGGATCGGACGTGGGACAGTGAGGATATGATACAGAGTAGCATAGACTGGAATATAATGTTGAACATCCACACGTCTAGAAATCTTGAAGTGTAGCTGTCTCCCTTCTAATCTGCCATGGCAGAATTTTACATGAACATGGTACATTATTGAACTTGTGTAGTAAACTACGGTTGTCACGAACTCAAAGGGACACGATTTCTCAAAACAAACTTAAGTTTTTACTCGGATTTCAAACTGAGTTAGACAATTTGAAACAGTTGAATTTTCAACTCAACTGAAGAAGCCCAAACAACTTAAGTAATCTATCCACCAAACTCAAATTGTCTACCACGTTTGAGATATCGATTTCAGGTGATTCTGGAAAATGCATTTTCCTGCGTTTACTCAAATTTGAGTAAAAACTCTAACTTAAGTCAAAACTTAGACTTCAGTTTGTTTCGAGAAATCGTGGCCAGTTCAGTTCGTTATAACCGTATTTCGTTATATGCATCTCTATTAAAATATACAGCAAGTGAATGGGGCATACATAGAGTAGTTTGATGACTCTCAGCTTTCCACGAGTCAAGCAAGGTCTAATACCTTTGTGACAGAGGTATTAACATTGTGACGTCACAACTGTAAACCATTATGACGTCATACGTCTAGCGGTATTACACTGCAGTATCTTCCATGCGCGAGTAATAAATAGAGAATACTACACGAGGTCTCATTACATACGAATTATACGAGACGAGTGTCTTTGCTATGGTATCTGACCGAGCGAACATATAACATATGAAGGTCACGAGTTTCGTATAATTCGTATGCAATGAGACCGAGTGTGGTATTTTATTTATTACCCACTTCTTACATGCATTAAATTGACAAAATAGCGTATTTTTGTTATTTTGTGGTTTCAAACCGAAACCGGTTTCATAAAGATGTTGCGGAAGAGTGTTGTACTGTAGTACAATATTTGCATGACGTCACACTGTAATGACGTCACTGCCTTGGTAACCGACGTCACGATGCATGTCAGATGTCATCGCCTCGTACAGCCTCTTACAGTAAACTACTCCGTAGCACCCCGTTTCTTGGTTTGCGGTTGCTTCATTCGGCTAACATCACTGGTGGAAACAATGCGTTTATGTTTTTCGACGGATATAATGTCTCAGTTCGACTCACAATTAAACAGCGACACGGCAACGTTCGCAATGTTTATATTCCCACAATGCATTTAAGTTGTAGAATGAATGAATTCACGTGTTTGTT